ATAATTGAGACATGGCTCATAATTATAATGATAGAAGTGGTGGGAAGCATATGACATTTGATGATGACCATGACAACTCAGAATACAATGCTAGAGACTCATTCAAGAGGAAAAATAATGAAGAAGACAGATTTGCCTTTGGCAAGAGGCAAAGGTTTGGTGGACAGAATGATAACAAGCCTAGATTTGAAAATTGGAATTCAGAAGCAGGAAGAATGAATAACTGGAATAGTAATAAAAACAAGAAGTGGCAAGATGCAGAACAGTTTGAAGAATACTTTGAAGATGTACCAAGACCAGAGAAGCCTCGGAAATATACCATTAGCATAGCAGTTCCTGCTTCCATCCTGGAGGAAACCTGCAAAAAAGATGAATTGCGAACATATGTTGTGGGTCAATTGGCAAGAGCAGCGAATATATATTCTGTTGATGAGATCATAGTGTATGATGACAAATGTTGGCGTAAGAAAAATGTGGCTGGCACTGGCAGTGACAGGCAGAATTTGATTGGTATGTATATGTTGCTTGTTACATCTGCATTCAAAAGTACATGTACATGTACATAAATAGATGTGGATAAACATCCAACAACACTCCTCAGCACATCCAAAACTGTGCACATATGCATGAGCACAAATATCTTCACGTACACAGACATACTACTTTAGATTCTGATGTACACTCCCACATGCATGCATAGGCTATGCATGCACACATACATATACATACACACATACATATACATATTTGTGAACATGCCCATACATAAGCCTAGACAAATATACATGACAATATTCATTCACACAACCATATACATACATGCAAGTCTATCTTCTTATCTGTTTATTTGCTTCTGAGTGTGCAAACTAATTCATTGAAACATGCAGAATAACAACAAGAACTAAGACATCACATAGTAAAGAATTTTGTGCTATATAATCTTAATTAATTATTTCAGTATATTACAGTTCCATTGTATTTTTTTAATATTTATTTATTCATTCACTGAGTTGTGTCCTTTGAACATGCAGTGTGAATTACATTGTTATTGGTAAACAGTAAAAAATTATGATCCCTCATACTATAGTGGAACTGAGTTTAAAATTAAATATTGTTGTATTTCAATTAGCAGTGCAGTAATTCCTAACTTCTTTTCAATGTCTTTGATATTTTTATAGATTAAGAAAAGAACTATCACTCCGTTGTATTTTCTTTCAGAGATGATGAGAATGTTACTTGAATACCAGGAATGTCCCCAGTACCTTAGAAAATACCTCTTCTCATTCCATCGCTTTCTTGGTAAAGTTGGGGTCCTGAATGCTCTTAATGCTCCACATCACCTACTCTCCAAACAGTGGTGTGAATACAGGTAAGAGATGCGTCTTATTAAATAACAATGGATTGTTTGAAGACCTGTTTTACTTTTAATGTTTGGTGTACTCCTTTGAGGCATTATCTATGAACATATGCTTAACAGTTTGTCTAAAGATGTGACTAGAGGGAGTCTTTGTTGTGAGAGTCTGAGGGAATCAGTTGAAGATATGCCAGGATATTCATAACACTAAGAAGTAGCCCATATGTTTTAACCCCAAGCTGTCGGGCATGGCATGTACGTACATGTCATTGCCCATTGTGGATGTTGAAGCTAGTAATTGTTTGTACATATAGATGGCTTCAAAAATACTGTCACCAATGAGCCAATTACACAAACCACCTGTCTCACCTGTTTACCCTTTTCCTTGATTTTTGATAATATTTTCTTGTATTTAATACTGCTGTTAGTAATGTCAGTAACAATATAGTAAATATAATGCTTATAACAAAAATAACAGTGTCAATATTGATAGCTTTAGTAAAAAAAAAAAAGAAGAAGCATTTTCCCACTTTTTCAAGGAAAAGTGAGGTTGCAAGATCTTCTAATTGACTCCTTTGTGGCTAAGCATTGGCAGAGCCATCTATGTGGAGAAACATTTAACCAAGCATTGCCAGAGGGAATGCACCATTTTCCTGTCGGCATTAGGTTAAGACTCAGGAATCTCTTTGCACAGACACATTCATACCCATGAACCACCCACTCATGGGGATATATTTATGGATATTAACATAAATATATATACAAATAATCAGGCATAAACTGCATATATATATATATATATATATATATATATATATATATATATATATATATATATATATCCAATCAAACTGTTTGGTATATACACATAATTGCAAGTATCTATATTAGATATACATACATTTTCTTAAATGGTAATATATTAGGAGTGCATGCTTTCAACACTAAATGTTCATTATTTATTTCAGAGAAGGTGTTGTGCTAGATAGACGAAACAAGAGCTTATCCTATGTTGATGTTGGTTTATCATCAGAAATCACCATTGATAAAAAGCTTGATGCAGGAGTAAGAGTAACTGTCAGACTGCCTCCAGAAACAAAAGATCTGACTAAACGTTTTGGGGTTGTTGTTTCACCCGACGAACCTAGAGAAAAGTGTGGCTATTATTGGGGCTACACTGTTAGAGTTGCACATTCTCTTACAGAGGTAATAAACTTTTTTTCTTCTTTTTCTTTTTCTCTTTGAAATGGAATGAGTCAATTGATAAATGCTTATAATATTGAGTCGATCATTATATTTTCTATATTGGAACCTCTGTTACACAGGTCATGACTGGGGGCAGATTCCAAAATGGTTATGATCTACTAATTGGCACGTCTGATAAAGGAGAAGACATCAAGAAAACTGAATACCCGAAATTCTATCATGCGCTTATTGTCTTTGGAGGTATGAGTGCTTTTGTTTATAGTCATTGCTACATTATGTATTTTTGGCATGTGAGTGGTGTCTGTCTTTCTGTCAGTTCTGTTTGTATATATCATAATAAGAAAGCTAGACAATCATTTATTGCTATATATTTGCAAATAACAGGAGAGAGAGAGAGGGAGGGAGGGAGAGAAAAAAGCTTCTGATATTAAGTTTTGCTTTTTCCATGATTTAGGTGTTGAGGGTCTTGAGTCTGCAATAGAAGCAGATGATCAGCTGGAAGCCACTGAACCACACCACCTGTTTGACTTCTACACCAACACATGCCCCATGCAGCAGGCACGCACAATACGCACAGAAGAGGCAGTATTGATTAGTCTGTGTGCTCTGCAAGATAAATTACTACCAAAAGGAAAAAACTAAATACTACTTGGAAGGTTGCTAAGTACTTGTTATAATTTTTTTTTTTTTATTGAATTTAACTTGAGATTCTTGTTATATTGTACTTGGTACTGCTTTCATTATCAGTAATAGTACCTGCAAATAATAAAAAAATATATTTTTTATTGACTATTGAAAGTTGTCTTCAATCTCATACTACATAGAATACTTTGCAAATGGTATGGTTTATATTACATTAGGATTTATTTTTAGTTGTAGAGGACATTTGTGAAAATGATACTTGTTGAACTAAAAAAAAAAATCCAGTTTAATTTTTGACCTGTATAACCATTGCACAGGACTCATAGAACATAATAGGTATTCTGAATACTTGCATAAATAAAAATATATGTATATATTTATATATGCAATTTACTGCACTTGGATAGTACTCTAAGATTGGGATTTCATAAAATTTGATGAGACTTGAATATTACTTGGAGATAAAAATTCTGTTTATATCCTTTCTCAATAAAATATGATGTTGGCAATTATGATGAAACATTCCTTCCAAGCTTTGTTTTTATAAATGAAAACGTTAAACAATGACTAACATGGAGGCACGGTAGAACTCAAAGAAATATGCATATACAATAATTGTGTTTAAGTTGCATTTTTTTCAATCTGATGTGACATTTTGTTTGCCATGTTACTTGTGACTGATTAATACTGAATTAAAGTCTTAAAAAAAAAGAAAAGAGAAAGAAAAAGGGATATATATATATATATATATATATACTATATATTATATATATATATATATATAATATATATATATATATATATATATATATATATATATATATATATATATATATATATATATATATATATATATATATATATATACATATGCACACATATATTCCATATTTTAAGTAGGATTACCATTGAGGCCCCAAAAAGTAAATGAAAATAGTGAAGAAACCATAGAAAGGAAGCAATAAAATCAGGGACTGGTATGGAAATGTAGAAAATAAGTATGTTTGAAAGTATTGAAAACAAAACACCCTTTAGAAGGAGGTATCAGTAAAATATATTCCAACTATTATTTAAAATTGAAAAATAAGTGAGTGAAAGGAGAACAAATGTTGCAAGAAAGGAGAGAAGGAAAGGTAAAGGAAAAGAGAGACAAACACAAGATAAATGTGTAAGAAAAAAGGGCTTGTATGTAGGAAAAATTAGTTTAATTTTGTAGATATAGTTAGAAGTCCAAGGAATTTAAGCAAGCAAAATCAGCAGGATGGATTACATGTAAATATATTTATTTTAAATTTTTATTTTTTTCTATTTTTATTTATTTACATATTTTTAAAGAATGGATTTAAAAATAATTTCCCATTTTAAAGGAAGGGTATTTCCTGCTGAACTGCGCAAGATGAAGATTGTGTATGGCTTTTCATTGTCAATCAATAAATTTTGGTCCAACTACCACGAAACAAATGACTATGTTGTGAAGATCATGTTGTTGTATTGTAATGAAAAACTGCATAAAAAAAAGAAAGAAAAAAAAGAAAATAAACAAAATTGTATAAAAGAACATTGGAGTACCTTTTGAAAGCAAGTACCTTTCCCTGACACTATTTATATCAATGTTGTTATAATTATTGACATTATGATTATTTTAATGCCATTAACAAAACTAATGGATTAGAAGATTAGATAGAACATTTTGAAAATCAAGTAGAGTCTGCACAGTCACCTTTTTGGAGACAGATGATTGTAACAAGTTAAAACTTCCTTGAAATAACGAGAAAATGATAACTTAATGCGATTCAACTAAATAGCAAAGGACGGGTTGATTGATTAACAATAGACAATTATGTTCTGAACCATGAAGTTTTTAAATCATTATAATTATCAGAAAGGTGTTGCATCAAACATCTTGGTCAGCAGAATGCAGGAGCACCGTGACCCTCAAAGACTAAATTTAGAAAGACCTTTGGTAAGTTTTAATGAATACTTAAAACTAAAAGGAAAGTAACTGTACTGTATAGAACTGGTGTAGGAAAAGAACTGTGGGCTAGGATTTCCTTTATACTTTATCGATCCTGTAAATGGGCTAATACCCAGGGATAACACAACTTTACAGTATCAAGTGTGACTTAACATGGGCATTCCCAGTAAACAAGCAATGCAGTTCATTACCCAGTTGCTGAGTACATCCCCCCCCTAAATAAGAATGTCTGATATTTTAGTGCAGAAATTAATGAATTCATCTCTTAAACTTTGCCCCCTGGACGCCGAAAAGGACCTGCAGCTCCCAGAACCCCCAGCTGTTTTTGGGTAGAACCTACTTTGCTCCCCCTTCCCACTTCAAAATACCTTCCTATGCCTATACTTACCCTTCCCTTCATATACATAGCTCTGGAATGGATGGTTCCAATAGGCAGTTCCAAATCATATGAGCCAGAATATACTGAAACTTTTTAAAATAAGTGACTGATTGATCAAAATATCATCATGCTCTTATCTGTACTGAGTCCTTTAAGTTTGTCCTATTTCGGTCACTTGCCAGACCAGAGATAAAGGGATAAACGCATGTAATCAATATTATTGTTATATTAATAGTATAATATAAGTAAACAAAAATACACTGGTCGTGAAGGCTAGGCTGTAGAGTGGAGGAAGCTAAATGATAGCGGGCACTAACTTGCAATATGTTTTGCAAAGAAGCTTAGGTCTGATAAGCGACTCTATAGGCTAATACCCTATTTTTAAGGGGAAAATCCTATATCACTTACAGAGCAAACCATAATTATTTTTTTGATCAGACACTACAAATGACCTTGGTCTGGAGAACTGTAGGTCACATTGAAGTAAAAGTTTATTAATATCCTCAAATAAACACCAGCGTAACGGTACTACGCTTACGTTCACTATTATTACTTCAGATTGTTACAAACGTGATTAATTGCGTATTGAGAAATAACCTTAAGTTGGATAAGAATACTGACAAGTCCGATATGCGAAGTTGATTCTCGTCAGGGCCATGAGGGTAGCCCGGCCTGTGCCAACTAATGTCGACTCGTTTAGTGTGTCAGCTGGGGCTGCTAAACGTTAGCCCTTACCCACTGTGGGGCCCAACCACACCGGTAACTTTCAGACGACAATTGCAACTTCTCACGCCGACCCCTCGGATGAGAGGCCGACGCGTTACCACTGTATTATTCCAGAGGCTACTTTGAGCTGATATTCTTCTATTCAGGTCATGTGATTGGTTGCGGACAATAAGGTATAGAAGTTGATGCTACTGAAGCTACGATCCCGTGCAGACAATATAGTTAAGTGCAGTGAGGCAGACTGTATTTTGAGATTTTAAATACAGATTAACTGATATATGCATGCATCAGTAATGATTCCTGTCAAATTTATTGATAATGAAATATATAATCTTATTTACATATAACTCGTCGACCAACCCAATTATGTACTTTCATACTGTAACGAGTTGGGGTATTGCTCAATTGGTATGCATGTGTTCGCGAGAGCGCGCACGCGTCTGTGTATGTGTTGTAAGGAACAGACAGACAGATTCATCTTTCCAGATCATGTATCAAGAAAAACAGAATCAAGTTCATAATACATTATTTATCTTTACACATCACATCAGACAATCGTTTATATATATATTATATATATATATATATATATATATATATATATATATATATATATATATATATATATATATGTATGTATATTACATATCAATTTTCCACATTTCATAAAGCTTAGTATTACAAATATATAATATTCTGCGTGTATATCCTAATGCGGATGATTATAAAATATAATGATTACAATAATAATAATAACTTATTACAATGATTATAATGATATCATTATTATTATTAAAAATATGAAAGTAATATTAATAAAGATAATAATAATGCTGATAACAATATCAATGATGCTAATTAATGTAAGGAAACACTACTGAAGGTGGGGTTAAGGGAGAGATTTTGTTCACTTAATCGAGCAAGAGAAAATCTAGAAGAATCATGTGTCACAAAACGTTCTTCCGAGTTGACCGAGAGTCACTGGCCATTTGTCCTCGAAAACAGTTTGTACTCTTTTAGGTAAACAAATATCAAATTCAAAATCAAATTCACCGGTCCTTGTCGGGAACCTATAGGCATTTGTATTCGAACACTGTGGTTTCAGCTTTTCTATTGTATAATGATGCACAGCTACAAATTAACTAACACTGGCAAGGCTGACCTGAGTTACTTTCTACGTCACACGGTTGGGCACTTGGCATATAGTTTTGAATTAATGATAACGATACCAATGATGTTAATAATAACATTTAACGTTCAGTGGTGACTTCAATGCACAACACGACTAGCTGTCTCTCGCAAGAATGGGTGTCCTGTCCGAGAAGTCTGTACAACTCGAGCGAAGACGTTAGGCCTCGGTTCAACCTGCCGTTACTCGTCCATCCGTCGCAGGCGATCGCGGACCGGTTCCCCGTCACTCCGGAGCCGTGCCAGACGTGCTTCGATGGCCTGTAAGGAATCAACTTAGCGTGTCATTTGTTTTCAGAAGTTTCGGTCTGTAAGGTATAAATGTTAAATGATCAGTGTCGTCTGCTAATTCACTGGCCGAAGGTGCACGTGAAATTTAAAAGGACGAGGATGTTTACCAAATGGAGCTTTCCATCACGTTGTCGCCACCGAAGCTGATGAGACTGGGTCTTCTGGCGAAGATGGCCTGAGTCCCGCTGAAGATGCTGTCCCAGCTTTCGAACAGTTTCTCATCCTGAGGTAGGAATCACAACTACATAATCTTACGTAATATTAAATAAAATATATATATATTTATGGTCCATACAATACCACAAATATTCTCATTTCATAGATGTAAACACATAATGAAATAAAGGTCAACCTTGAGATTGATGATGGGGAGGTGCCTGTCCTGGCGACGCACGATGGAGTTCAGGTCCTGCGTGTTGGAGGTGAGGAGGGCCCTGAAGGTGCCCCGAAGACCCGCTTGTCGGGACTGCCGGAAGCATCGCCGGTCTGCGCGCCGGAGACCGCCCATGTTGCCGTCGAGGGGCGCATTCAGGGCTGCTAATCGTAGCTGGAAAGTAATGCATGAACGCCTTTTGCAATAATACGCTGCGTAAGTAGAACGGCAACTCTAGTGAAAGTTAACGCTCAGTTCCTGAGTCAGCAGGTCGGTGTGTGTTTGTGTGTGTATCTATCTATCTATCTATCTATCTATATTTATTCATATCTATATCTATCTATCTATCTATATTTATTTATATCTATATCTATCTATCTATCTGTCTGTCTATCTAATGTTGCGTTCACTTTAGTATTGCTTTCTTAAATGTTTCTGTACATAGATGGCCCTGCCAGTGCTTAGCCACAAAGAAGTCAATTAGTAGATCTTGTGACCTCATCTTTCCTTGAAATAGCGGGAAAATACTTTTTTTTTTTACTAATTCTATCAATATCGATACTATTATTTTTGTTTTAAACATTATAATTGCTATATTGTTAGTATTAAATACTAGAAAATATTATCGAAAATCAGTTGGGTTCTTAGTACTTGTAGAGCCATCTATATGTAAAAAACAATTACTAGATTACACAGTGGGCATGGCATGTACACACATGCCATCCCGGCGGCATATATATATATATATATATATATATATATATATATATATATATATATATATATATATATATATTATGTGTGTGTGTGTGTGTGTGTGTGTGTGTGTGTGTGTGTGTGTGTGTGTGTGTGTGTGTGTGTGTGTGTGTGTGTGTGTGTGTGTGCGTATATATATATATATATATATATATATATATATATATATATATATATATATATATATATATATATATATATATATATATATATTATATATATATATATATAATCAATTACTTATTCTTTTCATCCATCTTTTCATGACACAAGCTTGAACTTACGCTTTTGCCGCCTGAAGGAGCAAGTGGTCGGTCACTCAGTCTGGTATAGTCGGGCATAATTGTACCCATCTGTAAGAACAAAAAATAGCAATGAGATATGTTGAATAACAAAAAAAAAAGAAAAAAAAAGAAAAAAGAAAAAAAAACATGGACAGATGTAGACAGAAAAATTAAAAAAGGAGGCAGAGAATCACATTAGCTCAACCAAATGAAAAATTAAAAGTAAGCAAAACAAAATCAAAACAAATACGCCGATGTTTGAGACGAGACTCACCCTGACATACCGCCATGGACAGACGTAGACAGAAAAATAAAAAGAAGCAGAGAATCACATTAGCTCAACCAAATGAAAAATAAAAAGTACAAATGAAAAATAAAAGTAAACTAAACAAATAAAAAGAAGCAGAAAATCACATTAGTTCAACCAAATGAAAAATAAAAAGTAAACAAATAAATAAAATCGTAACAAATACGCCGATGTTTGAGACGAGACTCACCCTGACATACCGCCATGGACAGACGTAGACAGAAAAATAAGAAAAAGAAGCAGAGAATCACATTAGTTCAACAAAATAAAATAAAAAGTAACAAAAAATAAATCGTAACAAATACGCGATGTTTGAGACAGATCACCACAGATCAGACGTAGACAGAAAATAAAAAAGAAGCAGAGAATCACATTAGTTCACCAAATACAAAATAAAAAGTAAACAAATAAATAAAATCATAACAAATACGCCGATGTTTGAGACGAGACTCACCCTGACGTACCGCCATGGACAGACGTAGACAGAAAAATAAGAAAAAGAAGCAGAGAATCACATTAGTTCAACCAAATACAAAATAAAAAGTAAACAAATAAATAAATGTAACAAATACGCCGATGTTTGAGAACTCAGACTCTACCCCATGACGTAGACAAACCAGAAAAATAAAAAAAGCAAAAACCGTAAACTCAAAATAAAAAGAAGCAGAAATCACATTAGTTCAACCAAATTACAAAATAAAAGTAAACAAAGAAACAAAATCATAAAAATGCACCGATGTTTGAGAGACGAGACTCACCCACCTGACGTACCGCCATGGACAACGTAGACAGAAAAATAAAAAAGAGCAGAGAATCAACTTAGCTCAACAAATGAAAAATAAAAAGCACAAATGAATAAAAAGTACCTCAACAAATAAAAAAGAAGCAGAAATCACATTAGTTCAACAATACAAATAAAAGTAAACAAAGAAATAAAATCATAACAACTACGCGATGTTTGAGACGAGACCTCCCTGACGTACCGCCATGGACAGACGTAGACAGAAAAATAAAAAAGAAGCAGAGAATCACTTAGCTCAACCAATGAAAATAAAAGTAAACAAATAAATAAAATCATAACAAATACGCCGATGTTTTGAGACGAGAACTCACCCTGACATACGCCATGGACAGACGTAGACAGAAAAATAAAAAAGAGAAGCAGAGAATCACATTAGTTCAACCAAATACAAAATAAAAAGGAAACAAATAAATAAAACCATAACAAATACGCCGATGTTTGAGACGAGACTCACCCTGACATACCGCCAACCCTTTCACGCGGCCCAACGAACGCGTCTCCTCCCAGGTAGACAAAGTGCCTGGCGATGGAGTGGTGGGTCACCTGCGCAGTAGATCATAATAATGATAATAATGATAATGATGATATTTGATAATAATAAGGATAATGTATAATGATAATGATAATGATAATGATAATGATAATGATAATATAATAATTATAATAGACATCATGATACTTGTTAGAACACAGATTAACGTTACACAAAAGATGAAGTCAATCCTACTGACTAACCTTTGCTGAACACTCACCCTATACACACGCGGCACGCATTTCCCCCCAACTTGCTAAAGGTCAGTACCAAAAGAAAGAGCCCAACGAGACAAAAAAGATAAATCTGTATCAACGTAGCAAGCTCATTAAGCTTTTCCTTTCGCATTGACGACATCCTTTACACGTACCTGCTAGAGGGCAAGCCGTTTCGACCGAGTTGATCTCGAGAGCGCCTGTCTCGCTCGCTATGCTGGAGGTGGTCCGTCCTTCTGTTTGTGTCGTTGGTCTACGCGTAGGTATCCTGCGGGAGTAGTCAAAGGTTTCGATTTTATTCTCTATTCCAATATCCTAATATAGTTTATTATGATTAATATCTTACTAAACTTTTAAGAAATACTTAATAGTACTCATATAAGTAGGTTCACCTCAATAGGTGATATCTCTTACCTTACTCAATTTCTATATAGTATAAATAACTTATATAATTAACTATAATATGTTATTAAACTATAAGTATTTTACAATGTCTCAGGATAAAGGGTGGCTATCTAGTATCATATCTACTATGTCATAATTTTCAATATAATCTACTTATTATAACTTCTATAAATATAAGTATATAAGTAGGTCAAATGGTTTATAGGTGTATCTCATTATATCTATATAGTCATTAAATATAAATATACTAACTAGAAAAATATATTTACAGTATTACATAGATAGCGTGTCAAGGGTCGATTATTATAATCATACTATCTAGTAATAAAATATAAATATTGTAATATAAATATAAGTATATAGAGTAAGGTCAAAGGGTGATATCTATATCATATCTATATAGTATATAAATATATAATTTAAATATAAAATATAGGTAATATAAAGAGGGTCCAAAGGGTGTATCATAATACTCATATTATATAGTATTTATTTCCAAGTATATCATATACACTTAAGTATTACAAATAGTTATAAGTCCTATTAAAGTAGGTCAAATAGGCGGTATACTTTTATCCAGCATTATATATGATTAGTTCAAAATATAAATATATAAATATAACAATCATATTAGTTATATAAACGTAGGATAAAGGGTGCGTAGTTATATCATATCTATATGGTAATTTAAATATTAATCATAAAATAATAAAAATAATACCGCTATATAAAATGTAGGCTCGTAAAGGGTCGATATATAATCTATATCATATCTAATCATGAGTTAATATATATATATATAGTTATATATATAAAAATATTATATGACATATTAACTTTTGGTCTAAAAGGGTGATGATACTTATTGGCTGATACAGTCAATGATAATGGATGGTAACGATGCGAATGATGAATAACTGGTGCGATGATAATGATACATTGGGGATAGATAACAAGGCAGATCATTCAATGAGGACCAATATGATGATAATAAATATGGTAATAATAACATAATTATAATAATAAGTGGTTAAAATAACAAAATGATACTAATAATGATAATAATCAGTGCTAAGGATGATAATAATAATTAGATAATAATCTGCTAATGATGATAATAATAGTGGATACGTTTTTCTTTCCTCCTTGCCTCCTTTCCTCTTATGATGATTTCTTACAATAATTATAGAAGTGATATATCATAATACACAAGTGGGTAAATCGATAATGAATGCGACAGTAATTATGATAATAATAAATCATAACGATAATAATATATAATTACTAATAATGAATAATGAATCATATAATGATAATAATAATGATGATGATATAATATAATAATAATAATAATTGAATAATAAGTAATAATAGAAATGAGACTGAGAATTGATTTTTCTGCAAATTGTCTCCATATCTAATTATTTCCGATATTACAATCGATATTCCTTTCATCCTCCTTTAGCGGCAAAGTAATGAAACAAGGTAATTGTGATAATCACCCCTAATAGCGAACCTGCACATTATTCCTTTAATTCTCCTCTATCCACCGTTGTATTCTTCGCTGGCATTATCTTCGATTTCTGTGTGCCATCAGTCTCTCTATCCCCACCTTACTCTGGCTGCATTGTCACTGTTGGTCACCTCAGCAGAGGCTCCACTTAAGAAGAATATCCGCAACACATCAGTACGCAAGGCGTGAAATCCCCTCCTCTCCGCACTACCTCTTACCCAGCGGTGTGCTCCGCGAAGGACGTCAAGAGCTTGCAGAGGACACGTGACACTTTTTGAGACTGTGGAGATGAGGCATTGGTTTTCGTAACGGGCATTAATTTGTCGCCACGCTCGCTTTATCAACTTGACTGTTTTCTCGGATTAGGCGAAGTGGCGATGGTAATAGATTTGCAAGCGAGTATTCATGTGAAGATATAAGTAGCCCCCAAATGGGTCAAATCATGAAAAAAAGCGAAAAAGTCAGATTAATAGGACGGAACGTTAATGCTTAGGCAAACCCGGTTATCGTTTGCATTCCGCCTTGTCGTTCGATCCCGGCCGCTCGACGTGATGGTGTGCGCGGTCGCTTCTACGGACCCACAGCTCAGCGGGTAGAGCTCCGAGTTAGGGGCAGGTGGACCCTACGGGGCCATGTGCGCCTGTCCCTCGCTGATTAGATTCTGCTGGTCCCCTCGGCCCTCGTTTACCCGCGTGCGCATAATTCGAAAGTCTGGTCATAGCGACCATTGCGTGTAGCTTTGCCTCGCAAAAGATTGAGATGTCTGTCGTCAGGCCTCAATTTCCTTGCCGGATTAGCGTTCCCAAATTAAGACCGACGAGGGTTACATATTGTCCCGGCCTATAAGTGATTTACTTATCTGTATTGTGCCTATCACTTTTCATTTCAGTGATTTGTTACTCTCGACCCCAGCCGCCTAGTCGATATAGTATCGATTATCATTATTATTATTATATTATTATTATTGATTTGGTTCTTACTATTGCTGTTGTTCTTCATCATGAGCAGTCAGGCATCATGTATCAATATTCTCGATTTTTGTCTACTTCAAGTCAGGAGATGTTTTTTAATCTAATTCCTAATGTCTTCCTACCTTTTTATGTATGTCTAAAAGTAAATTATAGAATCGGGAAAAAATTATTCAGATATCTCAGAAGATACTGCAAGATTATTCAGTATTACTGTAGACTGTGAGGTAATGACTGCATTAATCACGTTGTTCTCACGTAAGCATTCATCATTAAACATTCCCGCATAAGTTCTTTGACTTTTTACTCATGTCTATAGTCTCTTGAAAAATCCTAAGCTCCATATATACACGTTTCACAAGATTCACGAACTGCATCCACGAAATATATTCAAGGATTTAGAACACTCGATCGGCCTGGCTGGGGAGTCCCCTGTCCTTGACCCTGCGGAAAACTTACGCTTTCTTACGCAGCCTATGCAGCCGCTTCTCCCTGACTGCCCCTCTGCGCTGCATTGGAACCCATTTGGCCTTTCATTTCCTCGCTTGCCTGCTTTGCCTGCTTTGCTCGCCTGAAAGTTAGCGTGCTCAGTTTTTTTCTTTATTTCAATTTCTTTATTATTGAATTAATCGATCACAGATGAGAAGGTAGATGACCAGAGATGGGATGGAACGAAGAGGAATGAAAGAAGGAGCAGAGATAGCACGATATCGTGAGGGAAATTCAGAAGATTTACCGCTTCCTTGCCTTTGGCACGTTAAAAAACAAAAAAAAATAGTAAATAAAAGATCCCAAGGAAATACTTCTCTTCAACCTATAAATGGAGCAGAAACTGAGGGGGATTCACATTATTAATATATAGCTCGATAACACTATTCTTAAAGCAAAATCTGTAATTGTAGCGGGTACAGATACTCTTACGGGGTTGTCGATGCTTACAGAATAAAACACGATATATGCTCGAATGACATGATGGGTATGAAAGCTTAAGAACACTACATGCAAGGACCACCAAGCTAGGGGCCGAT